ATGCCAGCAACAGCCATGGGAGGGGGGCAGTCAGGGTTCCAGCAACTGGCAACAGCCTTGCACCAGGAGTGTAAGGGCTCAGGCAAGCAGTTGGGGGTGTCCCATTTTCCCTTTGAGAAATCTGGTCACCCTAAGCAGCAAGGAATACTTAAAAGAAATGGAAAAGCTGCACCCCAAGCTGTGCAGACCCTAAGCCCCAGTCTGCAGCAACAGCCATGGGAGGGGGGCAGTCAGGGTTCCAGCAACTGGCAACAGCCTTGCACCAGGAGTGTAAGGGCTCAGGCAAGCAGTTGGGGGTGTCCCATTTTCCCTTTGAGAAATCTGGTCACCCTAAGCAGCAAGGAATACTTAAAAGAAATGGAAAAGCTGCACCCCAAGCTGTGCAGACCCTAAGCCCCAGTCTGGAATCCAGCCAGAAACTCAGTGAATGCTCCAAGTTAGCAACATTCCCTCGTGTCCGTTATCCAAACTCTGACCGCTTTCCAGAATGTAATATAGGTGAACAGCTGTCAGAGAAGGGAAAACACCGCCCATTGCCTTCTCCCGTCTAATCAGTTCTAAGGCTCCTGAATCCACCATGTTATTAATAACATTCTGCTGCTGTTCATCCACCTCCCGACTCACTGCACCCAAAGCAAGAGAAATTGCCTGTTGGACTCACAGAGGTCACCCTCTGAGATAGAAAAATAGGTCACATTTAAAAAGGTGTTTGGACATTACAGTCCAAACTCCCTGCCAGTGTGAGCTATATGACCAAACAGACATTTTCAAATGTCCAGACATTTGCCCCCACTTAAAACACACTCCTTTCCTCTCTTTAGCTTCCAGGGAATGGATGCCCATGCACTACCCCTGCATTAGAGTCCTCTGTCAGAATTTAATGAACAATTCTGTCAATTACATGTAAGACAAAACGGAATCCCTCTCCTTCCCACCCCACCCCCTGAGATCTGTGAGGAGTAAAAAACACATCTACTGACTACTGTAAGATCCAGAAACATACAGGGAGCAATTCTGTTGGATAACAAGGTGCCATTTTTACATAGCTCCATACCGTAATTTAACTATGGAGGCCCTAGCAATGCCACCATCATTGTCCTCTGTATCCAGCGTCTCTCTTAGACTATCCAACATTCCACCGAGACGTAATGGGACTAGCACACAATTGAGACCACTTTCTGCCAACCTCACATATCCTGCCCTGCACACAACAGACTAGCATCCTCCCTGTGCATTCATGACCCAGCTCCTTGGTGCCAGGCTGCTATAATTGTGCACAGCCTGCTGTTCAGCCACTGTGAACGATTACAGAACAAGTTTTGTATTCAGAAGCTCAGTATGAAACAAGGGAAAAAAGAAAGCAAACATTGTATGAGTTAAAGAGAGTCTTCTGTGGATCAACATTGGTTACTCATTCCCCAAAGAGCAAGTATATGTGTGAAAATCAGGATGGCTTATATAATGGTCAGCCCACAAATAAGATTAGACTGGCTATAATCCAACAAATTAATGAAATCTCCTTTCTGATCAGACACCACATAGACCATAAATAAAACCTAGCAACAGTCAAGACGCACATTAAACCCTACAAAAGACAACGCTGAGGGAAATGAAATGAACAGTCTTTTCACCCACAACCAACTGAAAGACTAATGGGATTTAGTGGTAGATTTGAAAACAACAGCAGGTATATAGAGTGCTAATATCAGACCCTCAGCCACAGAGGACACAGCAACAAAGTACTTTATGATGGGAAAGATGCCAAAGCTGGTTTAGCACCTGACTGAGAAATCATCCAGTAACATAAGCAAAGGCATCTTCCAAGATGTTTTTCAGAGACCAGCTGTGAGATTTGGCCATATTTCTGTAGATATCTACTGAATCTTTGACAACAGAGGTAATGTGTCAATAATTTAGCTATGTAGACAGAGGCAATGCCAATATTTTAAAATCTGGTTTTGTTCTAAAACAGAACACAAAAAAAGTTAACATTTTCCATGAAAGAGATGAGCCCCGAGACATCAGACCTTGTCAGTATAAATTAAACATACATTTATTTTTTAAAAATCAATGCATTTAAAATTAAATTTGAAAGCCTAAATTTACTGTAACCTATTAGAAGCTTTTATATTAAAGACAAATAGTGCTATGCAACAGAATCCTAGAATACTAGGACTGGAAGGGACCTCGAGAGTCATCGA